GAGAAAGCTCGCCGGAAAATCGGCCAAAGTCGGGTAAGGAAGACGAGATCCACGGATCCGGGTCAACCCGAACCCAGAACCCGGGAGAGCCAGCCCGTTCCTCCCTTGGCCTCTGCCTTCGGCCCAGCCCAACTACAGCGGCTCAAACCTTAAACCGGCCCAGAAGCTACGGTTCAGTTGAACCAACCTAGACTAGACCCACGGTCCAATTGAGCCGGCCTGCAAACCAAACACTTGCGACCCAGCCCAGTAAGCCGAGGCCCAACGTTTAGCCTTGGCCCAGTAGCCTTCCACATCCCGCGACCCGAACCGGACTGCGACCCGCGCTTCGACCCGACACTACCGCCCGACGTGGCTTTCTCTGCTACTGCCACGTGTCACACAGCGGCGCGGCAGTCCCTTGGCTCGACTCGGCGCAAACGGCTCGGGCTCCCTCCAGTGACGCTCCGGCGGCTCCAGCAGCTGTTCGGCTCGGCTCACCTATTTTCAGCCCGGTTTCCACTGTTTCGACCCTCCTGGATCTGTTTTCGGCCCCGATTAAGGTATCCGAGGCCGTTTTAGAGCCGTATTTCACATTGTTAGTTGGATTATTAATTAAAATGTGAAATACTAACAAAAGGTGACGAACGGTGGGATATGAAGCGAACTCCAGCAACCTTTAGAGCAACTCTCGAGGAACGAGAGCTTACGTTAATTAAATTAGGGAGTACTTCGGCTAAGGCCAACCAGGTAAGTGGCCTTACTATAGGATAGGCTAAATAAATTATATGATGCTTGATGATATGTGCTAGTATATACATATTTTGTTGAGTGACGCTTGATATGTTTGACGCACGTTGTGGCATTATGATGAGCATGATGATTGCATGATTTTTACCTTAATATGATGATGTGTTCCATATTGAGCATGCTAGATGATGATGAGTGCCATATTGCATCATGTCGTTAGATCGACGTAGGACACAACCCTAAGAGCATGAAAATGATATTAATATAAATATCCACGAGTATGCGTTACCTAGAGTAACAAAGAGATGAGACTAGAGGGTTGTGTCAGAAGAGACATTACGATGGATTTAGAGGGACCTCATGCATTTTGTATGTTCATAAGCATAGGGCTACTTCCCCTAGAGATGATGAGTGCGGACGCGCACCTTATGATGAGCGCGAATGCGCACAGGTGCGAAAGCACACAGATGAGGGTGTTCATGAGGCGCATGACACTATGGGGTTCTGCTGACCTCCGGACGTCGCCACAGATTAGCTTGACCAGAGGGTCCAGGGGGTGTGCGAGCGCCCTGAGGGCTCACACTCGCACGTGTGAGTCGTGTGTAGGGAAGTACTACACGTCCAATTTGTCCGAGACTGGAGGCCACCCGTAAGATGATTAGAGATAGGTCCCTAAATCATGATTGCATGTGTTTGTGTTTGCATGGCCCCCTATAGTGGGGCCACTTACTGAGTATTCTTTGAAATACTCAGGCCGTGTGTCACATCATTTTTCAGGTAAAGGCAAGGCGCACTTGTACGGAGGACGGCGGCATCGCGAGCAGAGACTGTGGCACGTGCATAGGGTAGACTCATATTTAAATTTCTAGTCTTAAGTTAGAATAGGTTGTTTTGCATTTCATTGTTTTAAATTATTTTGTATTTGTTTTTGTTTCTCTAAATTTCAGTATTTCATATTTAAACACGTAAGACCATGGCAGTGTTTTTCAGAGGAGAAGTTGTTTTAAACATTTTTTTTTTTCTGAAATTTTCATTATCAATTATGTTCATGTAAGAGTTATATTTCCGCATTATAGATGAGCATGAGACGTTAGTAGCGACTCTGAGTATGTGGAAATTTAGCGTCGTTATATTTTCGACCTGTTTGGCACCATTCCGACCCTCCCGAACTTGATTTCAACCCCATATAAGGTAAAATAAATCATTTTAAGGCCACATTTCACAAATTCAAGTTGGAAATTAATTATGTTTGTGAAATACTAACGAAGGTGTCGAATGATCCAATAGGAACCACCACCAACGGAAGCATAGGACGTATACGAGGAGCTAGGAGCTTACGTTTATATTTTAGGGAGTACTTCAGCTAAGGCCTACCAAGTAAGTGGCTCACCCGTCGTAGGTTACACGTTGAATGTTGTAGGTTGGCACGTGCCCTTGGATTCGCACGTGTCATTGAATTGTATGCTAGCCTGTTATAATCAATTAAGTACGCTTGTGAAATGTGAATGTATGTTGTTTAAGGTGATATGATGTGCTATGTTTATGACATTTATGATATGTCTGGATTATTCTGGCTTGAATGGTACTATAATGCTGAATGTAAACAGCATATAATGTATGACATGAAATCACGATAAATTGCACAAAATGTAACCCCGTTAGAATTATGTATGATACGTAGACTGAAAAATAAGAAATGACATAAAACATGAAAGATGAAAGCTGGTTTATATACATTAATGATAAAAGTATAAATATTGGGGACCTCATGCATTATGTGTGCTCATATATTGGGGGGATACCCCTATTCCATCACGAGGGTACGGACGCGTACATCCAATGGTAGGACAACGATCGTTATGTTTTGCATAGTGCTGCCATGATGGTTACTAGTTCTAACGGGTGTCCGGCCTAAGGAGCTCCCAGAGTATGATCGCCCGACAAGGAAAGTGGTCGAGCGGTGTGCAAACTGACTGGTAAGTCCATACTCGCACGTATGGGCTGTGAGTAGAGTATATGGTACACGTCCAAATTACCCGTTAGGACAGCATCGTAGGAAGATAGATTGAAAGATAGGTCTCATCATCTCATTTGCATGTGATTGTTGCATAACCCTGATAGGGGGCCACTTACCGAGTATTCTAGAAATACTCAAGACTCGTGCTACTATATTTTCAGATAAAGGCAAGGCACCTATGTGAGATCGATGGCGGCATCGCACATCCCGGGATCGTGGCACATGCATAGGATAGTTGTTTTCCATTTCGTAGTATAGGTTAGTATAGGTTGAATTTCATTTGCCTTCATAGTATAGGTTAGTTTAGGTTGAATTCCCATTTGCATGCATAGGATAGTATAGGTTGAATTGTAATCGTGTAATAAATCATAGGGTAATATATGACATTTACTTCAGCGTTGTTCTTTTTCTTTTCTTTCCCTTGTATTCGTTATTCATGAGGTAATAAAAGGCAAACTTATGTCGTATTTATGATAAGAGCCCATATAAGGTAAATTCCGCATTTAAAGTATAGCAATGACCTTAGATTAAATAGGTAAAATATATGAATGGTTTAAGAGTTTTTTTTTTTTTTTTTTTTTTTTTTTTTTTTTTTTTTTTTTTTTTTTTTTTTTTTTAATTTAAGATTTTTTATAAAAAAGTTGAAGAGCATTTTTATATATTTTTTTTAAAAAAATTAGGATTAATAACTTTCTATTAAAGGGAATTTTTGACACCTTCAAAAGTTTTAAGAGTATTTTTAAAATGAAGTACTAACTTTTCATCTAAAACTAACTACAAAGGGTATTTGAACGAAAGTTTTACAGTAGTTTTAGGGGTATTTTTATTAATTTAACGGGAAACAATTTGGTAAATTGTGCATGACCTGAAATTAATACTCCATCGGTTTGGAAGTAACATTATTTTCTCTAATGGCCTCAAAGATCCTTACAACAGTGGAGGGTAAGTAAGAACATTATTTAAGCTGGTACCACCTTCAAAGCTTCAAACTATTAATGGTATGGGGTTTGGATCACAGGGTATTGCATAATATATCTGAGAGCATTGTTGCTATCCTCACGGCTAAATGTAATGCTTTCATCATAATTTGATTAATTATTTTACATTTCATACCGTTTTTCAAATGCTAAAATTGTGATTAATACAGGCTCCCATTGCTTAGACTTACAAGAAGGGAGGGAGGATGATCGTGAATGGTTGATAAGCCAAAGGAAGGCTGAAATGGGCATAATTGATGCTTGGATCTCGAAGTATTATGTCGATCTCTTACAATCCAACCAAACTCTCGATGCCCATTGATATGTGCACTCAAGAACGTCTAGAATCCTTTTTAAATTTGGAAACGAGTGACTTAATATTGATCAATTCGTTAGCTGTGTTTCTAAGATCAGATAATCGTGTTTGATGGCGGAGAACAATGGTCTTTAAAATGCTTATTACTTTCTAAGAAGGATATTTGCATTATTACACTAATGCAAGGTATCCTATCAGAATTCCACTGTTAAGCGTGCTTGGACGAGAGTAGTACTAAGTTGCACCCATTTTTATTTCTTTACTCGTTATTTCAATTTCTCTCCGTTCTTTTCTTCATTTCTTTACCAATGACAACTACTCCTACTGTTAATCTCACGCCCATTGCGTTTCTTCTCTTCGATGTGTTCACGTGGGCCCCACTAGCCATTCTGAGCACGTGCGTGCACCCACCTTCGCTGCTGAAGGATAAGAAGGATACTTACGGAAGACAGAGAAGATTAAAATAAGAGGAAGAAATAGGAACTATGTTGTTAAGGATAGTTGACCGTTCATTATAAGGCAAATATCTATTGTATTACGTTACCGCTTACCATATTTGCCCTTTCATTAAAAGCAAAAATATTGTATTCATTTATTATTTTTATATTATTTGTAATTTACCATACTTGCCTATTCGGCTCGTATTTAACCTATTTTTATATTCCTCCTTATTTGGGAGGAATTTGAGATCGAATAAATAAAAACTAAATAGAATAACCTAATCCATCGTTAAAAAAAAAAAAAAAAAAAATTATTATAAAAATAGAAAATTCAAACAGTTAGAAACCAAGCATAAGCCACGTGATTTTCACGAACCATAACCACATATCGTTATCCAATCAGAGAGCAAAATATCAATTAATTTTTTTTTAATTTTTTTATTTCAAACATTATCCAAAAAAAAAAAAAATTAATTTTCATATAATATATAAACAAAATACACGTGGTCTTCTACTTTTGGAAGCTCCGGTACCTGCCAACGTAAAAAAGAAGCTCGAAGCCTGGTTTGAAGTTTAATGTTCATAACCAGACACCTTGGATCGCTCTCCAATGCCGATCTCTCCATCCCTTCAACTCCTTAGATTTCCTTCCCAGGCACTATCCTCATCCTCTCACCACCGTCTCATCTCTGATCTTGCCTCTGAATCGCGCTTCTTCCGATCTCCATGGCTTGCCTCTTTGGCTCCGTTGCGGAACTGCCGGATGAAGTTATCGTCGACAACGAAATGTTTCTCCATGTCCAATGATGATGAGAATTGGAGTGATTCGGAAGCGTTGGTGTCCGATTTGGACGTAGGGGGAGATCGCGAGGATGATATTGGTGTTCAGCAAGAGAATCCTGTGGCCACTGTTGCTTCTGCGCAGACGATTGCTTCCTCGTCGCCGAGTGATTATCTGTCGCTGGCGATCCGAGAGCTGGTTTATGAGGTTTGTTTTTTCTTTTCTTTGATGAATTTTGCTCTTTGTGTGAATTGTGACGTTTAATTGCGTAGTGAATTTCTTATTTTCTTTCTCTTTTGCTGTTTGAGATCTATGAGAGCCTCTTCAAATTACAAGTCTGCTATTGCCTATTCGTCGTCAGTTGCTAATTAGGGCCAAACTTTTGTTTTTGTTAATGTTGAATAACATTTTGTGGAATGACTTCCTGGCATTCTAAAATCACATTCGAATTTTGATGTTAAGAGTGCAAAAGGTTTATTATTTAATTTTTAAACAGTTTAAAGTGCTAATCCACTAGTAATTTATTGTGTAGTTTAGAACTTTATTAACTCGCTAAACTTTTGATCTTCAATGTAGTATATCTCATCGTTAGGGGTTCAAATTCTCCTACCCTATACGTTGTCGAACTCAAAAATAATTTTAAAGAATGTTAAACACGTTAGGAACTATTAAAAACCAAAATTGACAGTTCATCTAACTTAGTAGTTTGACCTTTACAATAAACCACAATCAATATTTTTACTCTAAAAAAAATTGCAGGCTTTTGGTATGATTTTATATCTTAAAAATTTATGTTCATTTATTTAGTTTGTAATTTATTTTTCAAAATAATTTTAAAAAGAGTTTCAAAAACAAAAAAATATTTTTGAACTTTCAGAACTTGGTTGAGATTTCATATTGTGTTATTAGAAAGTAAAAGTCTAACTAATAATTATATGTAAACGTAAAAAGTTGTAATCAAATAGGGTCGATTGTAGTGTTTTAGTTTTATTGTTGTTATTTTTTGAAATGTTACAGTAAAATTATAAGAGAAGGTTCAAATTTAGGTGAGACAATGTCTTATCATTTGATATAGCTCAAGTCAGCTGTCCACTGTGGTACTTGGTGTGGATAGTTACTAGTCCCGTATTGAACTTCTTGTATTATTTCTATTTCTTTTCCAAATTTATGTTATTAAATCTTTGTATTTATTAGTTCCTTTTGGGAAGCTTCATAGAAGCCAACAGAACAGAATATTATTAAAGCTCTGTAAATCTGAAGTTTATGTTTTTTATACTCTGTCATATGAATGACCTTCATAGTGCCTCCACCTGCCAAAGCTATAAAGATATTGTACACCAACATTTGATTTGTCAGAGGATAACTCATATCTTACACTTGGACATAACTCAACCAATCGAATCCCATCACCACAAATGGTTGAACTAAAAAAACTCATATTTTAAGAATCTCAATAGCCATCATGCACTGTCAAATCATAGCCCGATCATAGAAAAGATGCAAACTTATGACTTTTAAGAAGTTGAACTTCTGATATTCACTTTTCTTCCACAAAATTCCCTTTAAGGGCTGCATGTTTACAAAATTTCAGCTTATGTTAAGACCTTGTGTTTTAATCGACCACTGAATGAAGGGTTAGTTATCGTTTCGATTCCTCATATTAGATCTGGATCTTGATGCCTTAACCAAATGGTTTCCTGTTAGAGATTTATTTGAGGATAAGGGGAAGTTTTTTGTTAGAGATTTATTTGAGGATAAGGGGAAGTTTTTACTCTCAATGCTCATCTTTATTGTCAACTTAGGTGGTAGAGGTTAAAGCCAATGGAGCCATATCCACTAGGAAGATTAACAGACGCCAGCTGTTGAAGTCAAGTGGTGAGTAAACATTTCCTGAAATTTTAGGTTCTCGTTTCAATTCTTAGTTTCTGGATGTATACTAATAAAAACTTGAGTCTGTGTTAACTTCTTCTCTATACTTGCGCTCTGAAATATCAATTGCTACTGGATGTCTTACTGGTCATCTTTAACCCTACACGATTATTAACCGTGGGATAACAAATAGGATATTATGCTACATTTTATTAAGAAACTATATATTTTCCATTCATTATTTTTCTCTTGTGGACATTGTTTAACCATCAGGGCTTCGTCCACGTGATGTTCGAAGTGTTGATCCATCTTTATTTTTGACAAACTCAATGCCTACATTACTGGTATATTGATTTCCACTTTTATAATTGCGTTGATATTCTATTGTGAATAAAAGCTTTTCATGTTGAATCATTTGCATTTGGCATAAAAATTTGTAATCAAGAAATGATACTCAACAAAGTTTTTCTTTGGTGGTTCACATCGCAGGTTCGTGAACATGCTATTTTGCTTAATCTGGGTTCGCTTCGAGCAATAGCTATGCGGGATTGTGTCCTTATATTTGATTATAACCGGTATCCATCTAACTTAAAAGTGGCACCATATTTATTTGTCATACAAAATTTCGCCATTGCAATTCTCTTTGCATATATTTTCAGTCCTGGAGGACAAGCTTTTATTGAATCATTGTTGCCTCGATTGAACCCAAAAAACATGAATGGAGCGCCAGAAATGCCATTTGAACTTGAGGTTAGTAATTCTTGTAAATATATGTATGCTTGCTTCATATAATTAAAGTTGGCAGATGAAAGAAAAATTAGCTTATGAATTGCGATATTTCCGTACATCTAACAATAAGAAGTTTCCTAACTAGAATTTGGTCCAGAGGAAGCTTACCCCTAGAAGCAATGAAAAATTACCACTACCTTTGAGCATTCTTATACCATTTGAAGTTGCTGAGAAGATCTAATTATTATTGTGAGCAGATAGATCAGCTTTTGGATTTGGTTTTGTTCATATATCCTGATCATAAAGGTTTAAAAATTAGAATCAGTGTTGAGAAATAGAATTGGGAAGGTGTGTGTATTATCATTCATATTGATATCCTTTAAATAAGATACAAACTAGTACAAATGAAGAAAATATAAAATAATTAAATACTGAGAATAAAATAAAATATAATGTAAATCAAATCATAAATAAAAGATATAATATCGAAGATATATTCCATAACTAAACATATTCTTCAATATCTCAACACTCCTCCTCAAGTTGGAGAGTGTATGTAATCACATCCAACTTGTCTTTACGAGTGTAGGTCAACAACATGCGAGTTGTCTTTGAGAAGAGAGTGTAGGTCAATAACACTTTTGTCTTCCCTGTAATGAAAATATCCTAAAAAATAGACCGCAATGATTGACTCTAGGATTAGTAACTTGTCCCATTTAATTTGATTTGGAACAAGTGATTATCCTCCTTGATCACTTCTTGGTCCATGCATAAATGCTTTAGAAATAGACCACAATGATTGACTCGAGGATTGGTAACTTGTCCCATTTAATTTGATTTGGAACAAGTGAATATCCTCTCTGATCACTTCTTGGTCCATGCATAAATGCTTTACTGGATAATAACACCAAGATCGATGCTCTGGATCACTTGACAGGTTGTGAATGAAAATACGAACATCTTGAATATGTCACCTTTGAGCTTGGTGAGCAATTTGAAGATGCTTACAACGTATTCTTGATATTGGATGATTGGCGGCTGTAAAGGCTTCACTAATTGAGTTAGGGTTTGGCTTTAGGTTTAATACTCCCCTTGGACTCAGAGTCCAAGGGGTATTAGAAATACCAAGATCAGTGTGATATTAGGAATACTAAGATCAGTGCTGAGTCCAAGGGGTATTAGAAATACCAAGATCAGTGTGATATTAGGAATACTAAGATCAGTGCTCTGATACCATGTTAAGAATGAGAAATAGAATTGGGAAGGTGTGTGTATTATCATTGATATTGATATCCTTTAAATAGGATATAAGCTAGTAGAAATGAAGAAAATATAAAATAATTAAATAATAAAATAAAATATACAGTAAATCAAATCATAAATAAAAGATATAATATGCTAAATATATTCTTTCAATTATCTCAACAATCTGGCCTTGAGAGGTGAGTGAAGTTTTCCTACCTTGAGAGGTGAGTGAAGTTTTCCTACCAATTCTGAAGCTTACATTGAATTTTTTCTACGATGGAGGTCCAAATATCAAATTTGTTTAGATTACCGTTGAGGGGAAGACCCAAATAGGAAGTCGGCCATTTCTCAATGCTACAACCTGCTACGAAGTAAACTTCTGCACTTCCAGATCATCTTTGAGCTTCTAATATCAATCTTTGATTATTGTTTAGACCTGAGAAAGGCTATAAAATTTGACGATATTGAACGGATTAACAAACTCACTTCAAGAGCAATTGAGAAAAGAATAGTACAAAACTTCATAGAGAACCATTTATCCGACCTTGTTTATCCATTAGTAATCATGGTATTGATCATTTGGTCTAACTCCCCTAAAGGGCTTCATTTTCCCCTATGATTTTCCATTGGTGACACTAGAATAACTGGCACTGAAGAGACAAGCATTCACCCCACCTCTACATAGAGCACACTAAAGCTTTTGGCTTCCATGATAGCGTTTACAAACTTAAATCAACTTTACGAAATGCCTTTTCCGGATCCGATTTGAGGTTTGATCTTTTCAATTTCCTTTTTTAAACATCACTGAATTCTAGACAAGAACAATTTTCTCTCGAAAAGCTGATTGGTATTCTGAAATTGTTTAGATCCTGTAGATCCTGTAAATATTTCAAGAAAAACTTTGTGGGTACTGATTTTGAACTCAGTTACCTTTTTTGCACCACAGTTTCTTGGAATAAGAAATATGTACATCTATTTGATGCTCGTTGCTCTCTTTAGTATTGTCATTTAGAAAAGATCGTGGAACAATTTCAATAACTTAAGCACAAGAGTGTTGCAATCTTTTCTGAAGAACACTGCTATAAAATCACCTAGCCTAGCGGCCTTGCACATACCACACTTTGCATGTCTTTTAAGATAATGCCTCCATAAAACTTTTCCAGCAGCTTCCTTTACCGATCAGAAATAGAACTCCAATCAAGATTACACCGGAAAACCATGCTCTGGGGACCTTAGTAAAGAAGGAATTGAAGAAGTTAAGAAGCTCATCCTCAATCTCCCTATCGGTTACTGAGGTTTCTACTTTTAAATTAGCAATCTATGAGATTAAGAACTTCTTCTACCTTCTATTAGCCGAACAATGGAAGGAAGAGAGATTCTTATCATGGTGCCATTTACATTTAGGTCTTTGCCTCCAAAAAGGTTCTTCTTAGTGTGAAATTGAAAAACTGGAACTGAGGTTGAGCCTAGTGTCCTCTGAATGGTCTAGGGAATAAGAATCCTCTAAATTGTATAAGGCCTTTTAAAACGAAAATAAGCCTTTTTTTAGTTAGTGAGAATTGCCGACAACCTTTTTCTTCCAAATCTTGAAGGATGATTATAAAGCTTTCAATTTTTTTCATAAAACGTAGCACACCCAACCTTGCATAAATGCCGGAATTTTCTTGATGATCACAAGTCACATGTTTTCTAATCTGAAAGAGGTGAGCCCACATTTGAATCCCCCAGCTCTCGAGTATGATTTTAAAGCTTTCAATTTTTTTCATAAAACGTGGCACGCCCAACCTTGTATAAATGCCGGAATTTTTCTTTATAATCACAAGTCGCATGTTTTCTAGTCTGAAAGAGGTGAGCTCACATTCGGATCCCCCCAGCTCTCGAGTAGGATAGGAAATGATTAGTTGTTTTCTCTAATCTTGAATCCTTGACGTAGCAAATTTAGGGCACCACTTTTGATTGGCAAGAAATCTTCAAGAGAGTTATCAGCTTGCCAAAAACCTTCATATTCCTTGTGGGAATATAATGTAGTAAACTCGAACAGGAACAAACCATATATTTGAAGGGAAAGCGTTATATTTGAGGAGAAAACTTGACGAAAAGAAAAAAGAAAAAGGAACAGACTGCAAATTAAAGTTTCTCATAATTAAAAAAAGGGTTAAATGACAAATTTGGTCTATGTGGTTTTGAGAATGCTAGAATTCAGTCCCTATAATTTTAATGTTAGAATTAGTCTTCATAGTTTGATAAAACCTCTATAAATAGTTCCTTCTGTAGGCACAATATATGAAAGGTGTAACAAATCATAGAGACTATTTGTTAGGTTTTTTCAAATCCTAAGGATGAGATTCTAGCTTTTAAAACCATAGTGATTTAATTCTAACTTTCTTCATAGGGATCAATTTTATTATTGAACCTTAAAAAAATTGGACTAGTAATGGAAAATGTCTTCCTTGAATCGGTGGTGCCAGTAGTTCATGGTCATCATGTGAGCTTTTGAAGCATATTTTCTCATAATTTGCATTAGTTTTGCTTCTTTGTTATTGTTTTTTTTTTTTTTTTTT